GCAATCTACAACGCTCTCATCCAGGATGGGATGAAGGCCATTCTGATTGAGGTGGAGAAAGTCGAGAGCTATGCATCCATGCCAGAGTCGATCCAGTATCTCAGACAGAAGCACGGGTCCGTCCAGTGGAGCAGGGACTTCACAGCACAGTCACCGTGTGCAAAGGCCAGGTTCTGGAAAAAAGTGAGATACCTCATGCCACCCAAAAGGTTTCCACCACCTTCTCCGGCCAGCTGCTGAAGCTCATGCCCTGTGACCTCACAGCTGGCAACAGCTGGCAAGCGGGAGGCCACCTGGGAGGTCTCTACCCCATGATGGAGAGTTTGCCCTCGGAAGTGGCTCACAGTTGGACAAGGTGCACTGCATTCAGGCCGCCTGCGTGGAGTCTGTCATTGGTACTTGTGAGAGAGAGGCTGCGTTTATTTTTGTGTTTTGTTTTTGTTTTAAGAATATGTTTTTATTGACTTCAGAGAGGAAGGGAGAAAGAGAGATAGAAACATCAATGGTGAGATAGAATCATTGATCGGCTGCCCCCTGCATGTCCACACTGGGGATCTAGCCTGCAACCTGGGCACATGCCCTGACGAGGAATCGATCTGTCATTTCCTGGTTCATAGGTTGATGCTCAACCACTGAGCCACACCAGTTGGGCAAGAGGGACTGTGTTTGTTTCCTTATTTTGGTCAGAGATGCTTCTTTAAGGAAACACATCACCTCTCTAGAAGGCCCTCATTAACTTATTGGCTCTGAACCCCTATGAACATTGGCTGAACATGGAGTGGATTTGAGCCCCTGAGAAATGGGGCACAGGGCGCTCTGGGATTGTAATTCAGATGCCAGGAAGTTGGCACATGGTGAGGCACCTGAGAGACCAGAGCTGGGAGCTGGTAGTCAGGGGAGGGCAGGAAGGCGGGATGTGGGCTTGGAGAGGGCTGGCAAGGATAATGGCAGTTGTTATGCCTGACCAGTGTCCACAGGGCCCTGTGCTTAGGGATATCTGCTGTCTGTGCAAATATATAGCCATGATCAGTCTTAGCAGGTGATATGGGAAGTGACTTAGTGGTCACCAGACCAGTGGGGTTAACAGTGGTGACACTGTAATTGCCCATTAATCACCCTCTGGTGAGCTCCATGCTTTGAAAGACTTGATCTGTCAAACCAAAATAAGTCACACCTCACTGGTTTTTCCAGCTGGCTTGTGTCAGCCAGAAAGCTGAGTAACATGTGAGAGGCATGGTTATCACCCCGAGATGATGTCATTATGGTCCAGTTAAAACAAAGTAATTTTTCAGTTAGCCCCTCATCGCAGGTCAGTTCATGATGAAACAAGTCACAAAGACTCTTGATACTAAAAATTAGCTGTCACTCTCATCCCAACTTTTAAGGGCCCTAACTTGAGGAGCCCATTCTGTGGTATATAACACTGAGCTTAAAAAGTGGCCTGCTAGGATGCACAATTAATATTCAGAAACTGGTGGCATATTTATACACCAATAATGAACTATGAGAAAGAGAAACTAAGAGAACACTCTCATTTACAATTGTAACAAGAAAAATAAGATAAGTAGTAATAAATTTAACCAAGGAGATAAAACACCTGTACTCAGAAAATTATAAGACACTGAAGAAAGAAATTGATGAAGATACACATAAGTGGAAGCATATATTGTGTTCATAGATAGGAAGAATTAACATCATCAAAATGTCCATACTACACAAGGAAATCTACAGATTCAATGCAATTCCTATCAAAATACCACTGGTGTATTTCACAGAACTAGAACAAATATTCCAAAAATTTATGTGAAACAACAAAAGACTCTGAATAGCCAAAGTAATCTTGTGAAAGAAGAACAAAGTTGAAGATACCTCGTATCAAACTATACTGCAAGGCTGTAGAAATCAAAACAGCATGGTATTGGCATAAAACCAGACATATAGACTAATGAAACAGAATAGAGAGCCCAGAGATCAACCATGGCTTATAGTCAATTAATATCTAACAAAGGAGGTGAAACATACAATGGGATAAAGACAATCTCTTCAAAAAGTGGTATTGGGAAAATTGGACAGGTACATGCAAAAAAATAAAACTAGACCACCTCCTTACACCACACACAAGAATAAATTCAAAATGGATTAAAGACTTAAATGTTAGACTCAAAACCATAAAAAACCCAGAACAAAACACAGGCAGTAAAATCTTGGATATTTCTCGTAGCAATATTTTTCTGATATAACTCCTCGGGCAAGGGAAACAAAACAAACATAAACAACTGGGACTACATCAAACTAAAAGGTGTTGCAAAGCAAAGGAAACTGTCAACAAAATGGAAAGACAACCCACTGAATGGGAGAGCATATTCACCAATGATGCATCTGATAAGGGGTTAACCCTTTGAGTGCCAACCAATACCTAGGAACTATGCTAAAATTGCCAAGGCATTTTTGCTGATTTTACAGCAGTTTAGGAAAAAAAAATTATGAATCACAAGTAAATGAAGTTACATATGCAAAAACTGAAGGAAACCTTTACTACATTGACATATTTAGCAATATCATCATCACTAATAAAAGCAGACTTAGAATGGACACCATTTCAAAGCTTTGATAGCGCTCCCGGCACTTTTGGCAAAAGACAGGAGGAGCACGATCGCACTCCCCAGCACTCTAGGGGTTAATATCCCAAATTTATAAAGTGCTCATACAACGCAACACCCAAAAAACAAACAATTCAATTAAAAAATTGGCAAAGAACCTGAATAAATACTTCACCAAAGAGGACATGGAAAGATGCTCAATGTTACTAATGATCAAAACAATGCAAATGAAAGCAAAATGTGATATCACCTCACGCCTGTCAGAATGGCTATCATCAATAAATCAACAAACACCAAATGCTGGTGAGGATGCGGAGAAAATGGAACCCTGGTTCACTGCTGGTGCGAATACAGACTGGTGCAGCTACTGTGGAAAACAGTATGGAGTTTCCTCAAGAAATTAAAATGGAACTACTTTATGACCATCCATCCCACTTCTGAGAATATCTCCAAAGAAACCCCAAAACACTGATTTCAAATATATGAAACCCTATGTGCATTATTTATAACTAGGGGCTTGGCGCATGAAATTTGTGCACTGGGGTGGGGGGGTGGGGGGCTGTCCCTCAGCCCAGCCTGGTGTGTGTGTGTGTGTTCCTCAGCCTGGCCTGTGCCCTCTTGCAGTCCAGGACCCCTTGGGGGGTGTCCACCTGCCAGTTTTCTTCTGACTACTTTTAAGATGTTCTCTGCCTTTTTTTTTGTAGTTTCCCTCTAATGCAACCAGGTATTAATTTTCTTTCGCAGTCCAGGACCCCTCGCTGCCTAATGGCTCCCCTGCTGGCCCGATTGCCCCCAACTGCCCTCCCCTGCAGGCCTGATCACCCCCAACTGCCCTCCCATGCTAGCCATCTTGTGCCCACATGGGAGCGGCCATCTTTGTGTGAGGGTATGATGGTCAATTTGCATATTACCTATTTATTATATAGAATAGCCAAGATATGGAAACAGCCCAAGTGCCCATCAGGAGATGAAGGGATAAAATAGCTGTGGTACATCTACACCATGGATACTCACATGGCTGTAAAAAGGAAGTAACTCTTACCATTTGTGACAGCATGGAGAGACCTGGAGGGTATCATGCTGAGTGAAATAAGCCAGTCAGAGAAAGACAAGTGTCACATGGTCTCACTTATATGTGGAATCTAATGAACAACATAAACTAACAAAATAGGAACCAACTACAGATGCAGAGAACAGACTGACAGCTGTGTAGGGCTGGGTGAAATAGGGAGGGATTAAGTAAAAGAACAGAAACTGGCTGCTCTGGCCAGAATATGTGTGTCCCAGCAAATTCTCCTGTTGGAATCCGAGCACCCAACCTCCTGGTATTAGTCGGTGGGGCCTTTGGCAGGCGATCAGCTCATGAAGGAGGAGCCCTGTTAGTGCTCTGACAAAAGGGCCCCAACGGAGCTCTCTTTCGGGTTCTGCACGTGAGGGCACCGTGAGAAGTTGGCACCAGGAAGCCCCTCCCCCCCCCCTCACTGTGCTGGCACCCAGATCTCACCACCCAGAACTGTGAGGAAGGACTGTCAGGTGTAGGCCAGAGCCCAGTTGGTGGTATTTTACTCTACAGTCTGAGCAGGCCCTAACAATCACGCGGCTAGAAGCACGTCCGCAGGGCAGGCAGGAGGGCTGAGTTGAGAGAGCAGTGGCCCTGGAGGGAGGGCGGAGCAGGAAGTATTAGGGGGAGCAGGTCAGGCAGGTCTGCGCCTTGCTTCCCAGGGGTGGGTGGTGTGGAGTGTCTGGGGGATCTTAAGGGATAAGAACACATTCTGGACTTTTAGGGTTTATATTCCAAGGTGACCTAGTGTTGCATATTCCCCCATTATTCTCAGGTCCTGACTCGACATCTAGCTGCTCTTTATTTTATTTATTGTTTGCTCTCTAAAGAATTTAAATAGTGACAATATATATAACACAGAAGTTATCATCCCAGCCGCTTGTAGGTACAGTTCAATGTCATCAAGCACATCTCATGAGCAGCCCCCAGCACGTGGTCCCCGCGCTCTGCACCTCCCAAAGGGAAACACCACGCCCGGGCCCCTCCCTCGCTTCTGGGCTCAGTGTCCTGCATGCATGAGCTGAGTGCTGGGGCTTCCTGGTGGGACCCTGCGCGACCTGTCCTGCGCCGGCAGAACGTCCACGCCCACCGTGCTTTCTCTCCTTGTTCTGATCTAGTACCTCCCCTTTTCCATCCTCTCCTACGCGCTTGAATGGAGGGTGAGGAGGGAACAGAATGCTCTGTTCTATTCCGAGGCAGGAGCCAACCCAGCGGTGAGGCTCTCTGCCAATGGCTCTTTGTAATTTCTTTGCATCTGGGCTCATCTCTAACGAGTCGTCGTGGCGCCTGGTGGAGGACGAGCCCGTTTAGTGAGAGGAGCTGCTACTCCTGGTGGACAAAGTGCTGACCGCTCCGTGCCCGGGTCCGCCCCTCAGCCTCCCAGCTCCACCCGTGGAGCCTGGCCCCAGGTGTTCGGGTGGCTGGGGTTCCTTTATGAGAGGAGAAGGGAAAACACACACACACACACACACACACACACACACACACACAACGGCACCCCCAGGAGACACCCCAGGTGGTCTGGACCAGACAGGGCTCCGTCTTCACCTGAGGCTGCTAGCACCCTCCACACCTGCGGAGCGGATCCCGGGGAGCACACCCACGGAGGAGGAGTCCCGAGGAGCACACCCGGGAGGAGGAGTCCCGGGGAGCACACCCGGGAAGGAGGTGTCCCGGGGAGCACACCCATGGAGGAGGGGTTCCGGGGAGCACACCCACGGAGGAGGGGTCCCGGGAAGCACACTCGCAGAGGAGGGGTCCCGGGCAG